TCTACGCAAACCAGCGAGCTGTAGCAACTGATATCTTGATGATCCACGTGAAAGCAGACCGCGCGGTTATGGAAACAACAAACAAAAATGACCTTCATAGCATGAGTGCGGACTAAAAATAGATTTCAAATAATTATCATGAGGCACAGAGATTCGCTCTAGATGTCTTCCCTTATTCTCTCTTACGCACAGCTATATCAGCGGTGAACAGTATTTTCGCCTTTAGTATACTTAGTGACATTCACCCCAACCTTTCTCGTCTTGCTACAAAGTAAGTAAAAAAAAGCCGGTTGGAAATTTCTGTTCTTCAATTGGCAATTGAAGAACAGAAATTTCCAACGGAAGTTCGTTCATGAAGGGTCGTAGTGCTTGACAGCAATGTTCGAGAAGCAACTCTACATAAGAAACTTCTACCAGAAAATTCTACCAGAAAATTCTAAATATATCTTCCAGCCGTGAATAGTTTCTGTGTTTAAAAGTTCAGTTTAGTTTAGGTTTTCGACTCTTTGCTCGAAGGAACAAAAAAGACTATCTGTTTTTGTAAGCCATTGATACCACTTAATCAAGCATAGGTCTTCTGATAAACTAAATATTTTTTCGTAATAGTACCCACTTTAATATTGTTTCCATTTGAAACCCAAATGGTATTTTCCTTGAGTAATAACGTGTCATACAAAGATCGTATAACTTAGATTGCATCTGTGAGTCAAAACCTAAGCAACCATTAAAAAAAACCCTATTAAACAGGGGTTTCCGGTATTTCTTTTGTTCTCATTTTCCTGACGTTTTGTGCTGTCAGTTGCCCACTTGGAATTTTCAAGTTTAAAGAGCATTTCTGGCAAGGACAGACCTTAATTGTTATCATTTAAATCCCAGCAGATTGTAATTATTACAAGAAACACAGATATTATCTTGTAAATAATCTACGGTATTATACGGTTCACCTGTTCTGGGGTCAAAACGAGAAATAATTTGCTGCCATTTAGTCTGTTCGGGTGATATTACGATAGCTGCGAGAAATAATGTTCCCCTTCCACGGCTGTTGATGTTCGTTATCAAATAAACTTGCAATAACTATTTCCCCATGTGTAAAATGTTGCCATTTTAAACTTCTGCTATGCCCTGAACGCAAATTGTATGAACCGGAAGTGTGTGCTCGCTTGCAAAATATTTGTAACGACTTTTCCCGTCTTATCAAAAGAAAAGAAAATAAGAAAATAGCCAGGTAAGGGAAGCATTCCGATCCTGGTTAATTCAGACTTTTGCAGCATGTTTTACATCCTTTCCAATATAGAAATTAACTCATCCAATCGAAGAATATTCCATTGATCATCCGAAGTTAACTAACGTTCCCCCAACCTACCCCGACACAGTACTTTTTTTGCGTTTGAAAACTGTGCGTGATTTGGGATAGAGAAATCGGCATTTTAGATTTTAGTCTATTTTGCCAGATTAAAGTCTTAAAAACAAAGATGCTTCACTAAGCGGTTATTTGTAACAACATAATCAAAGGTTATTGATTGGTAACAGCTTTGGATTTTACAGTCGTGCAATAATTGTACATTAGAAGGGGTGGCAGGTCGGCACCCCGTGGCTTTTACAGTTGTCTAACTCGACTGCAGTTCATCATAAAATCTTGTTCCCTGATATGACTACAGTTCTGTTTCCTGCAGATACATAAACTTGATTCGGAGGGCGATTATTTTCCAAAAGATGCAATCTCAAAGCTGGAAACTTTATTGGAAAGTTGAGACTTGTGAAAATTTTTAAATCCATTTCGAGAAAAACGAAACACATGCCTCGTGTAACTCGACGGTGAGAGTCCCAGGCCGTCTGTTCCGAGGAATTGTCTGTTCAGTGATAAACATACGACCGGATGCAAATGCCGTGATTACGCTGTGAGGCTTTGTTGGGAGTATCACAGAAGAGTCTTCCAACAAAAACAAATAAAAAATGGATGAGTTAAATAGGAAAGTTCATCGTTTATACACCACACGTGACAGTAGATGTCGTGAAAATTCTTTTCATAGACAAACTTCCTGAGCTGTCCACTGGTAGATACAAAGTCATGGAAGATACACAAAAAAATTACAGAATCGGGCTGGTTGATTGGCCGAGCGTGTAATTAGGTGTGGTGTTTTAAAAGTCACATAATGATGTTTGGAATTCAGCTGTGAAAAGCGCGAAGAAAGGTCATTAAAGCATGACAAAATAAACTTATAAGTTCATTATTCTCTTGAGAGACAATAAGCTAAGTAAGCGACCCACCAATCACGCTTCTCTGACGTCTTCAAATAGGATAGCAGCGCGTCACTCATCCGGCTGGGAGTTGTCCGCCGTTGACATTTTATAATCAGTGAGTCAGTCATTTGTCCAGCTTTGAGTAAGCGGCTGCGACTTTATGCGGGCGCACTCGAGCTGAGTGAACTTTAGCGTGAGAAATCTACCAGGTTGTTTCACTGTAGCTGTAGTGTATTTCAGTCGCTAGCTCACCGCTTGGATTCCAGAGAATCGAACGGGAGAGAAAAATGGCCGGAGAAATGGAAGATCCTGTGGCATTTTTGCGAGTTTCGGACAAACTCGCCCGTTTAGAGGAGAGTAAGTCTTTCGAAAGTAAGAAGTGGGTTTGGATTCAGGACAAAAAGGAATGTTTCAAGGCAGCAGAAGTTAAAAGTTCCAAAGGGGATATTTACGTCGTGGAGACCAACGATGGACAGGTATTACTGCAATAAGCTGCTTTTAATAGCGCAAAATGTACAGCAGATTTACAAGATCTCTATGCAGATCACAGGAGCACCTATGAATTATTACAGCCAAATTATAATACTCGATTACCAACAATGAACTTTCTGTTTTAAGAGACTCTGTTGACTTCACCACTAAGTATAATACTAAAAATGGAATTTTTTTCGGTAGGAACTGGAAGTCAATAAAAATGACACAGAACAAATGAATCCGCCGAAATTCGAAAAGGCCGAGGACATGGCCAACTTGACATATCTCAACGAAGCCAGCGTCCTACACAACCTCAAGCAGCGATATTTCGCAGGGCTGATATATGTAAGTACTCCGCTGCCGGCACTTGAATTTTCTAAACACTAAAATTATTTTGGGATGCCATTTTGAGAAGATTACTGTTATACTGAATGCTTACTTTAGGATTATCTTTTCGTATTGCCGTGTAGCATCGAACATCCGTGAGTTGTAAATGTGAAACCGGAGTAATCATGAATATTTATTTTTGTACATTCCTTTGTGTGCAGTTAAAGGGGTTTTCTCTGGCTTTCATGTAGGTCTATCTGGAGGATATTATCTCTTGCTAGCTACTTTTCTCGCCATTGCTGGCGTGAAAGAGGAATTGTATACAGTCGCTATGTCAACAGAGATTTGAGTTGTGTGAAAATGCTACTTCAAAGAACGATTGTCGATTTGCATGAAAATCTGGGGTCGAGCGAACTATTAATAACATGTCAATTTAACTTAACGCACAAAACACGCTCCTGTCCCAGGCTTTGCGTGCTATGAAACAATAACCATCAACTGTGAAATCAACACTGGTTACAAATGTCATGAAAATATCGTTTGGGGTATCTGCGTGTCTGCACAGTTGAGTTTTGGACTTAAAAACAAACGACAGGGCTTTTTTTGTAACAACAATAATGTCATATTGGGTTAACTACCGGGAGACATAAGACAAGAATAATGTACGGTTTCGTGCCGGCGTTTTGTTCATTTGCGAGATGGGTGTGAATTTATATCCAGAACCGATTTCTGTTGCAAGCGTAGGGTTCAATTTGCAATCCTCGAAGTTTTCATCCGTTAAATTGAGAAATAAATAAGCACTCTTGTTACTACTTTCAGAATCGACTTTCATATGGTGTGATCGTTTACTTCATAAGAGTAGAAAGTCATTAAGCAGCGTCCGTTCGTGACATCCACAAAGATGGCTTTTAAACACGTTTGAAAACACAGTGAGGGGTGATAGCATCCTGTTCTAAGATAAAACGGACCATCAACGGCGATTTTGTGTTTGTAAATCAAAAACTCCACACTTTATGGCACTCATTGTACTCTTCTGTTATTATTTAATATAGACTCCCGTGCTAAGATGATCAAGACACCGGCCTCTTACATGATTAAATCTGTTTTGAAAGTCAACTCTTTTGAAGTGCGTGTTTACGGGTCTTAAAATTTAACCTCTTTAACTTTCCACTGTTTCCCCGCAGCCAGTTTCCAAGAAATAATAACACATGTAATGTTTTCATTTAATGAAACTGACTACAATCTTGAAACTATTCAAACCTCTTATCTGAAATTGACCTGCTCGACCCCAGCTTTCTTGTTCAGTGGCCTGAGGGTTGAATATTTTCACCATATATGGTCAAGGGTGGGATGTGAGTTTGTTAAAGACATACTCCCTTTTCAGAGTTAAACAGTTAGGACCCTAAAAATTGTCAAAGCTGTTGGGAATAACTTTAAAAGAAAGCATTTATTTAACTTATTTTCCTCCTGTTTTAGAGACCTTGGTGCTTTAGAGCATGTCTGAAAATTTGCCGCACTGCTAGTTTAGCTCATTCTTGCTTAAACTTATAGCAGATTTCTTCTTTACCCATTGGTGAACAATAATGTGATACTCATCTGACAGGAAACTCAGAAAATGTTCTCTATGAACGTGACACTTGACTTAAAGAGACCTGTAACCTCTCACAGAGATGAAACTCAAACTAACCTCACAAGTTTGCAATGACTACAACTCAAACCCATTTCCACCTAAATGTATTGTAGCCGGTCTGTAACATTTAAAATACAAGCTTTAATGAGTGCTATCAACAAAGAAACATGCCTGCAATTTTCACAAGCTATTTTTAACCCTTTCTTCACCAAAGTATATCATATTATGCATGACAAAATACATTTTCTTTGATCATTAATTGCTGTTATTGAATCTTTATAATTTTTTATTAATTAATTTACCAAGCAAGAGATGATTTTGAACGATAAACTTTTTAACAGACATATTTTATAAGGTCTCAAATATTTATAAACCTTGAGGCTGTCTTAAATTTTTAAAATAAGTAGCAGATCATCCTAAATATTATATGGTAAACAACATGCATGTGTATAGTAAGAGTTTGAGCAACAATGATAATCCTTTGAATGGCAAAATGTGTTAAAAGAAAATTCCAGATTTACTCAGTACCAGTTTTAAGAAGTCCTGAAGATGTTTAATTTGAATGCTCACAACATTCATGTATGATTTTCTAGAGTTGATTAATTGGTCTGTTTAATAGATAAAATTTTTCATAAGTTTCATGTTCGCAAATTTTTCCACGTACAGTTTTATTTTACAGTGTAAATGACCTTCAATAGCTTAATTAAAACCATTTGCATTGTGCGAGCTGCTGAGTTGTGTTACCAAGAAACAGTTGACCTTATTACACTTGTTTCCCACATTTCTGATCTTCTGATACGTGTTTTCTCATTCAAAGCCATTAAATTCTCTATTTACTACTTTACCTTTTCTGTAGACATACTCTGGTTTGTTCTGTGTGGCCATCAATCCTTATCGCAGACTTCCCATTTACACAGAGAAGATTGTTTTTGCATACAGAGGAAAACGTCGCCCAGAAATGCCTCCCCATATCTTCTCAATTTGTGACAATGCATATCATGATATGTTGCAAGATCGTGAGAATCAGTCCATGTTGATCACGTAAGTAAAAACTAAAACGAACCACCATCTTCCACCATCTTCAAACAGATAGGATATGTTCAATGTGATGATACATGAAGTAGTTATTGTGACCGAGTATAATCCAGGTGTTGTTACATAAAGTAATCAGTTGCATTGGTACCTTTTGGTAAGTGTAGCTCATGTGAAGCCAACATAATAGTCTCACTTTAATATGTCTCGAGCTTACTCAGCTGCTTTCCCTATTTAAGGTGTTATCTATATTCTAGGTTAAGCCAACACCAACCTAGTTTGATTTAAGGATAATCTGGTTTAATCAGCGAGTGGATTTTACTGCAACAGCTACACAATAGAGATGAAACCAGACAAAACAGTTTGAGTTGGTTTATTTCATTCCAGAAGTAAGCTTAAGCCTTGTTTGGCTGTTTTTTCATCGGAATAATTAGTGTCATCCCCATGTTAGTCTCTCAAATGAGTCGTAAACAATGTTTTCATTTTGGTTTTAGCGGAGAGTCTGGTGCAGGAAAGACAGAGAACACCAAGAAGGTTATTCAATATTTGGCACATGTGTCTGGCCAGACAAAACCTGGGGATCATAAGCAAGAGGTAAATAAATAAACAGCTGACTCAGTAAAAAAACTGAGAGGGGGGCGGGCGGGCAAGCTTATTTTTGTGAAGCTGTGATTGACCATTTTTGGTGCCCGTGAATAGTAATGCACTGAAAAACTGTTCTGTGAATCATGATTGCAATGCACTCTGTGAAACGTGAACTGCCAAAATCTTCTATACTGTACACGTACATTGAAGATGAAGAAGTGAAATCAAAAATCTGGGTAAACGATCTTAACTAGCATCTGGCGGCGTGAAAAAACTTTTCTTTGGAGTCTTTTGATGTAACTTAAGACTTCAGTGTGCTTAGACCCACCTACAGTTACTTCCCTAGGGAATTAATAGCCATGCAGAGATCACCCCCAAACGTGTGGCAGAGATCAAATATGCTATTTGTTTCCTGACTCGCGAAAAATGCAAAATTGTTGTTTGTGAACTCGTTTCTGAGACTCCCCCTTACCCCCCTCAAAAATGTATGCAATTATTAAATACACTTTTCATTATTATGAACGAAGTTCACTGGCTGGCCACAAATGTTTACATTCCAATTGTTGATGTCTGCATTTTGAAGTTACAGTATGTTTTATCAATTATTTTAATGTGGTGAAAACAAAAATTATTCCAATAATTTTTATTTGCACTTTAGGGAGGTACCCTTGAAGACCAGGTTGTACAAGCCAATCCAATTCTGGAAGCCTATGGAAATGCCAAGACTGTCAGGAACAACAACTCATCAAGATTTGTGAGTAGTGCTTCTTTTTGAACAAAAACAGAAAAACATAACAGGCTATACAATAATGGATGTGTCATTTCTATAAATGTTTTCAACTGTTTGTTTGCTCTGGCACATCTGAGTAAAGATGTACATTTTCTTTGTTTACAACTTTAGGGAAAGTTCATTCGCTGCCACTTTGGGCCACAAGGAAAGCTTGCAGGAGCTGACATTGAATCTTGTAAGTCTAACATTTTGTCTGATCAGTGCTTTATTTGGGCTTGTAAGAATAGTGGACATCACTCTGTACTAAATAGCTACAGTATACGTATACTTTTGTGTAGGATTTTGTACAAATACAAAAATGTGAATCTAAAAAGACATTGGTAACAAAACTTATTTAGATCTCATTTTAACAGCTTACTGTAGTAGAAAAACGAACAAATTAAAAAAAAAAGGAACTAGTGAGATCATTGTCATCAATTTGTTTGAAATCTCTTTTCTCTTCTAGGTTTCAATTAAGCAATTCAATTTTTTTTTTGTACTTCAGACTTGTTGGAAAAGTCCCGCGTGGTCCACCAACTGGAGGGAGAAAGAAATTACCACATTTTCTACCAGATTTTGTATGGTGCTGACAAGGCCCTGCAAGGTTTGTTGAGTTTGAAGTGAAAAGTAACATATTGCATTAAGATATAATGGAATCCTAATCAGTTTCATGAATCTTCATTTGTGTGGAAACAGAAGTTTTTGGGAAGTAAGAAAAACTCACAGGTTCAATTATGGTGTTTAACCATTTTGGGTCAAAATAATTACAATAAATGTAAGAGGTTTGAAAAAATCAGAATGCCTCTGTAGTAGAGCTTGTAAGAGCTTAGTACATACAACATCTTTTAAGCCATGCCTTTTACTTTTAGAATTGGTTAGAGTTTTAAAGTTTGTATATTAGTAGAGTAACATGTGTAACATATAAAAAGTTCATGAGTATGAAATAATTTTCGAAGTAATAATACAGACAATGGGTTTGTCGCAGCATTGATCAATTTTATTGTACGTGTTATCAATTAGAGGTTTTGTGAGAAGTACATGTAAGGATGTTTTTCCATACTTGTCTTTTATTTGAGAATATTTGCTCTTACATTCTAGATAGGGTTTATTTTATCCTTGGTACATGCATGTTTCTATCTCTAATGGATAATATTTTTCTTCATTAACTTCTTTTTGACTTCAGATAAACTTCTCATTGAATCAACCAAGTCTGGAGATTATGAGATCCTCAAGAAAGGTGCTGAGAGAGCTGATGGAATTAATGATGTGGAAGAATTCAAAATAACAGAGGTCAGTGTTTTATTGCAAAAAGGAAAGCAGAGACTCAAATTTACAAGAAACTTAGATAATCCTAGTCTGCACCACAGATGTATTGTAACACCAGTTAGTAATGTGCATGAAGCATTGCCGATATCCTTGTTCTGGGCCTGCAACAGACCCAAACTACTGGAAATGCATTTTGAATTTCTCTTCAACCTGACTGGCAAATCAACAATGGCTTTTTAACAGGCTAATCATGGCACGTACTCAAATCCTGGTTAACACAGGTGGGGACCCAGAGTAAGGTTTTTGGGGCTGTTTCTCGGACAGACTTAACCAGAAGTTTAAATCCATCTTTGGCACAGTCTAAAGTAATCCGAATCCATAAAAATATATCATCATACAGTCAAACCTCCTGTAAATGACCACCCAAAATGCAATGTTGTTTACGGGAGGTGGTCGTTAGGTTAGTATGGAGTGGTATATTTATTCTAAAATTGAATAATGAAAGTTTACTTTCCCCTGCCAATTACTGGTAGCTTTATTGACAAAATCATTAGCTATTCTATGTGACAGTTCATTTACAGAATGTGCATGAAAATTTGTGGTTGAAAAAGTTTTACTTGTGTACTTAACTTCTTGTACAGAAATGTCTCTAAAACATTTGACGAACAAAAACTTAACTTCTTAAACTGAAACCTGGAAGTCTCATGTGTAGACAATAATGACAGCCAAAGAATGAATTCCTTTTTGTTTAATTTTTACAATGTACTTCACTGTCTAGTAAGACCATGTGTCTAGTGGTCGCTTACCAGAGGTTGAAAACAATAGAAAATTCTAAAACTGTCAACCGAAAAAGTAGTTGCAGTCACTTATGGTAGGTGGCCGTTTATGAGAGGTTCCAGTATAAGGCTTTGACTGAGAACACTTTTAGTGTTTTGGGAAGGTGGTCGCTTAAGGGAGGTGGTCGCCCACAGGAGGTGGTCGCAGGTGGAGGTTCGACTCTACTTACAGAAAAGGTTCTTATCTTTTCTTAGGAAGCTGCACAAACACTTGGTTTCACAAATGAAGAGAAAATGGGCATGTACAAAATCTGTGCTGCCTGCTTGCACTGGGGTAACTCCAAGTTCAAACAGAGGCCCAGAGAGGAGCAGGCTGAGGTGGCTGACCCGAAGGGTAGGAGTACATTCAGTGGTGGCTAGTGCTGCTATAATAAATTATTATTCTCCATAAAGTTACTATGGTTAGAAACATAAAACTGTTGTCACATAAATTGTCTGGCATTGAGAGAAAAAAATTGACTTCCTCAAAAGTTATTGTGACACCAACCGCTTGTGCATTCATTAAATTAGTATGACAGGTACAAACTCCAACTGGCTTGAAGCAAGTCAGTTTGTTATTTCAAGCTTCTCCAAGTAGTTAACATGGGCTAGCCTACTTAATAAAAGTTACCTGGCTCGCGGCTTAAGCAGAATTTAAACCTGTGGTGCTGGAATTAAAATAAGGAGTTCAACTTTATCCAGATGGGTGCCAAGGTTGTTAAAAGTTCTGTTTCATTACACTGTTATAATGACTTGTTATAACTCTGGGTGCGAAGAAAGTCAGTTTTACAGCTTTCCCTTCCTGCAAGCTGTAGCTAGCAAACGAACCCAAAAGGCATTTGAACTAGCCCCCCCCCCCCCCCCCCCCCTCCAAAAAAAAATTATTGACCAGCAGGATTGATGACAGTCCTTTTGTAATTTGAATTACCCCAAAAAATTTCACTTGACTGTTAGGCATGTTAAGAACAAAATTCACCAGCCTGCTTGCAAATGTCATTAACCCAGGGCAATCCGCCATGAACTGGGGTCAAACAAAACAAAACAAAGGAACATTCATTGTACCAGGATAATCATTATAGTTGATAATTTATAGGTGTTCACTCATTGTGATTATTATTGAAATTAAGTTTTCTTTCATTAAATCCATTATCACCAGAGTTGGACAAAGTTTCATTCTTGCTGTCGATTTCACAAACGGACTTTGGAAAGTCTCTTGTGAAGCCAAGAATCAAAGTTGGCCGTGAATATGTGAACCAGGGAAGAAATATGCAGCAGGTATTCTTAACGTTAGTAGTAGCTGTAAGATACATGTATTATATGGGACGCTTTATCTAAGTTAAATACACTGTACTTTAAAGTATTACCCTTAAAATGTCTTTGAAAATCTCCTAACTCTGAGAGCAACATTTATCCTAAATCTCTTGGTCCTCATTTGTCAATGTTGGAGACCATTTGATCTTGTGGTTATGTAATTTCAGGAGAGAATTTTAAAACCACAAGTAGGTCAAACATCAGGCCTGAATTTGTTTACATTTGTACAATTCTCTATCAGGAATACATGTATGTAAAAAAAATTTTGTTGCATAACCGAAATCTCATTTCACAAGCAGTTCAAACCACATATGGTCAATTTGCTTTAAGCTTTTTTCCTCTGAGTTTTGGCGTGTCTTTAAGTTTTTAGGCTTGGACTACAGTGGAGTTAGTAAAGGAAAATAATTTCTTTTCTGTTAAGTCACTTCCAATAATTTCTATATCCATGTGCTTGTGCTCTCTTCTTTGAATTTTTGTCCTATTGCTCAACTCTTGGTAAATGCCGTCAACTTGCCAGAAACAACTAGACCATTCTCTAGTTTGTTTAAAGCAGCATGCCATAAGTGCCCTCCTTCAAAATAACCACACATCCTTTTAGATGAATTTTGTAATAAGCACCTGAGCATTTACTTGAGGAAATTATTGTAAACAGTACCAGTTCACATGTCCAAATAATAAGTCAAAACATGGCTAGAACAAAGGTTTCTCTCAGTTGACAATAATTAAAGTAATAAAATAATGTAATAATTACTTGCTACTTGACTTTCAGGTGTATTACTCCATTGGTGCCCTCAGCAAGAGCATTTATGAAAGAATGTTCTTGTGGCTTGTTGAGAGAATCAATCAAACACTGTTAACTAAGGACAGACGTGCCTTCTTCATTGGTGTGCTGGACATTGCAGGCTTTGAGATCTTCAAGGTGTGTTACACCAACATTGAATGGGGAGAAAATGTACAGTGGTTGAAAGGGTTCCCAGAAAAAAAAAATTCCTTTGACTTGCAAATAATTCCATTGACTGGCAAATTACCCTGTATTCCCCATCGAGGCTGAGTTGGCTTTCGCTATCCGTTCTGTTTTCAGCTGGAAGATCCAGAGGCCGCCAGCCTTACTGGAAATTTTTTTGTAAAATAAACCCTTTGCAAACTGCACAATATGCAACAGGTTTCTTGCTTTCTGATTGGCTGTATACTTATAGTATGGTATAAATAATACATTTTGTCCTTTCTCTCTGAGCCCTTATTATTTATTAATTAGGGCTATGGGACAAAGGAAATTGAGAATAAACCTACAATGTAGGTCAAAAAATTTTAAAGTTCTGGATTTTATTTTGACCTATTACATGCATGTTCATGTGCACTCTACATGTAAGATAGAGCGGTTTTCACTTGACTGTCGTAAAACCAAAACCAAAGTAAATACACTAGCCAACCAAAGGGCGTAGTAAAACCAAAACCAAAACCAAAACCAATCCCTTTCGACAGTCAAGTGAAAACCGCTCTACTAGTTTCTGTGTGTGTGTTAGTGGTTAATTATGCTTTCAACCTTCTGGTTTAGATGAACTCATTTGAACAGCTTTGTATCAACTTGACAAATGAGAAACTTCAGCAGTTCTTCAACCATCACATGTTTATTCTGGAACAAGAGGAGTACAAACGCGAGGGCATTGAGTGGGAGTTCATTAACTTTGGTCTTGACTTGGTTCCAACCATTGAGCTCATTGAAAAGGTACATTGTTTACTGCCCGTTTCAAAAACATGCAAACTCTGAAGTTCAAAAGCCAACTAATGTTTGCGTTCTTTGCTTCCGTCAATCATCTTTGCGGACCTCTTAGGAAACAGGCATTTACTTTGATGAGTTCAAAAGTTCATAGTTTGTGATTTGTGATTGGTGGATTTCGATTCATTTTGTGTGCTTCTGTGTAAGGTTCACTGCTTGTGATCATACATGTACAGGCTGTAGAAGAGACAATAGTAAAGTTAGCACCTTTTTACATACTGACGTGTTCATTGTGGTTGGTGCTTTCCTTCTTATCTGGACCGTCGCTTAACATACATTTTATTACACTTTCAGCCCATGGGTGTGTTTGCCATTCTTGAAGAAGAGTGCATTGTGCCAAAGGCAACAGACATGACATTCCTACAAAAGTTGCACAACCAACATGAGGGCAAGCATCCTAAATATACAAAGCCTAAAATTTCAGGCAAATCTGCCTCAAACCACCACTTTGAGGTTGGTCACTACGCTGGCACTGTTGGTTACAATGTTGATGGCTGGCTAGACAAGAACAAGGATCCCATCAATGAGGCTGTGGCAACGTTGTTTGCAAAGTCTACTGATCCTTTTATTGCTCACCTCTTCAAGGACTATGCCAGCGAGTGTAAGTTTAAGTCTTTGAGTTTTACTCCTAAAGTTGTGGCCAAATTCTTGTCTTAATTCTCCAGTCTCAAATAATATATCATCCTTCCAAAAACAGAGTAACAAATATTAATATACTGTTAAAGATGTTTTTATATGAATTGCCATATGGTGGTATTTCATGCATAACCTATGCAGGGTGGTTGCATAAAAACCGCTAGATAATATGGCTGGATAATCACCTTGTTTGCTTGAAAAACTGAGAAAGATAAATAAAATAAACTAATAATGGAGACCTGAAAGATTGTAGCTTCCTCCTTTTCAATTTGGCTAGAAGGATGACTGTGTCATAAGGCATGAAATTACATGCAAGTCAATCAAGTAGCAAACATTAACACACTTTCCAAATTGTCCATTTCATTTTGTTTAGGACAAAATCAAGACATGGGAATACATGTAGCCTCAGTATGTTTCAAATGTTTTGTCTGAGGCTGTAGCTCTTAACAGAGGCAATTAGTGTCAATTTACCAGCTTATTTTTCACATTGTGCAGTCTTTTAATTCGGCATGTCTTTATCTGTAGCTCATGCAAGAGGAAAAGGTGGCAGTTTCCAGACTGTAAGCAACAAACACAAGGTATGATCATTTGTTCTTGTATGAAATTTGTTATCGTTTACCTTAGCATTAGTCTCCTGTGCAGCCATTTTGTCTCATCACGCAAAGCAGCATTGCATGACAAGACAAAAAATGGCCGCGTGGGAAACTACCTTACTTAGCATTAAATGGCTCTAATTTCAAAATGTCATGTTTATTCACGTAACCAACTGAGGAATGGCTGAGTTTGTTTCAAACATTTCTTCCCATGTTTTCAGTAAGACAAACCTATATTTAGCGGTCACCTCTATTAAGAACACCCTACCATAGGTCACGTGAGTGCTGCCCTCTTGAGGGAACAAAATCACTGGGCATGTAAGCCGTTAGTGCAAATGCACCTGTACCTCCAGGGGTCTCCATTTTTTTAAAAAACAGCCCTTGCAAGCTAATTGTACTGAAAATAAGTTGTACCTGTATCTTTATAATCTATATCTTTATCTTGATGAGGCAGCGTGGCTGTGTCAAGCCAGCCTGTCAGATTCTGGCCACTTGCTGGATTAGTTCTCGGTTATCCCTAGTTTAAACCCTTATCCACACTTGTAAAATAGCCAACTGGTTCGCTTCTATTATTATCAACTGTACACTTTCCATTACAACAGCCGTTTTTAGTGTCATCACATGTAGCAGACTACCTTTCTTATTAAGGAACAACTGACTCGACTGATGGACATCCTGTACAGTACCTGCCCTCATTTTGTTCAACTTTCGCAAAAGGCCTGTTTCAGCACACATACAGTGTACCCATATAGTTTATACAATGAAAGCGACCTTAATCAAGCAGACACAGGGCTTGTGAGCCCAAAGTGCAAATGTATCCCTAGGGGTCTTCATAGTAGAAATACATGTATGGCTCTTGCAAGCTAACTGTGTCCATATCTTCATTAAGGAACAACTGACTCGACTGATGGACACCCTGTACAGCACCTGCCCTCATTTTGTTCGCTGCATCGTCCCCAATGAACACAAGAAGGCTGGCGTGATTGAATCAAGCCTTGTCTTGCACCAGCTCAGGTGTAACGGTGTGCTGGAGGGTATTCGTATCTGCCGAAAGGGTTTTCCCAACAGGATTCCCTTCCAAGAATTCCGACAAAGGTAAGCAGTGAAAAACTCTCCCGAAGCGTAGGATGGTCGAGAATTAGAATTGCCACTTCTATGACTTAGCATGAAGTACCACGGGAACTGTTTTTTTCGCTCTCCGGATCGTTACTGGTTTTATTTGGGGCCAGTGGACATTTTGTAGAGTTTTGGGTGTTTCTTGTTGTTGCAGAAACTGTTGCTTCGCCTTTGTTTTGTTTGTTTGTTTGTTTGTTTTTTTTGGCGGGGGGGGGATATCGTTCAGTGTCTTTTCAATCTCCTGTATTTCGTCATGTGGTGATTTTACCCGTTCGCAACATCAGGAAATTATCGGCACTTTTAAATCAGTGAAAAACAAAAGGAATTCTCTGTACATGGAAACGCGTATAATTATGTATATACTATATGTTGTAAGTGAACAACCAAAATTTCGTGAATTGAAATGCTTTGTATTTTTGTTTGCCTGTGTTTTAATTTAGATACCAGATTTTAGCACCAACTGCCGTTGCTGGTGGATTTGTTGATGGCAAGAAAGCTTCTGAAATGCTTCTGGATGCCATGCAGCTCGAGAAAGCTTCCTACAGAGTTGGAACTAGTAAGGTAAATACAAATTTACGGATATCCGATAATATTTAGCAGCGAGACCCTCAAGCAACTATCTTGTCCAAAAGTAATGATCCCTAGTAGCTGAAAAAAGGAAAAAAGTTCATAAAAATGGTAAGTAAAACTATCATTTTCACTTTCTCCAACTTTTGCCAAACAGGTATTTTTCAGAGCTGGTGTCCTTGGAGAACTGGAAGACATGCGAGATGAAAGGTTGGCGAAGATCATCTCAATGTTCCAAGCTTACTGCAAAGGCTACTTAATGCGCAAGGAGTACCGCAAAATGTGTGATCAGAGGTAAGAGCAAGTCGAATCGTAGTCTTTTCAAGAAAACCGCTCAAACGATATTAAGTTGTCATCCTCTCGCGAAAGGGAATCGAAAAAACGCGTTTTTTGTAGCGCGGTTCGCGAATCTCGTGTAGACGTATACGAAAATGATGTATTCGGTCAGGAACTGCGAAATTCTTGCACAATTGCTAGAACGTAAGTCTCTTTTCATATTTTTAGGCCAGTTATATATTTATTGGTTGTTTTTAAGCAAATTTGATATGGGGTGTCTTTTATGGACTTAACCACCGTCTTCCTACCTCTACACAAGGTAGTCCCTCTTGCACGAGACGAACACAAAGGGCTAAAAAATAATGAATTATTATCCCTCTTCTATCTTCAGAATTGGAATCGCCGTCATCCAGCGTAACGTGAGAAAGTATCTGTTCTTGAGAAACTGGTCTTGGTGGAGACTCTACACAAAGGTACAAAAAAAACACACTCATTAAAAAAAAATACCCATCCTTACACTTTCACAACGTTTTGTGCTACAATCAATCGAATAAAGTTTGATTCCCGGTCAAGCCTGAATTTTTTCAGGTTCTTTTTCACAATCCGCTCAGGTTGTTCATTCTACTTCAAAGATCATGTTCACTTTCTTATCAAATCTTATTCGGCATAGAATTTGAGACGTCATTAACAAAACTATCCTGCTTAAAATAGAATGTTATGAAATCGTGCTTCTTTGCTTGGTTGCTCTTGCATACCAGGCTGTTTCAGCTTCCTTTTTCTTGAAGTCTTTGCCTATTTTCAGCCGTTCTCGATTTAATCTTATTCCTCTCTGAATATTTTTGTTACCCCAGGTCAAACCTCTACTCAACATCGCTCGTGCTGACGAGGAAATGAGGGAAAAGGCAGAAGAGGTAATATATTTTTTTTAGCTGAACGAGTCGAAACTAAAGAAACTTTCAATTTTCTCAGTCACAAGAATTTGCAAATACGTCGTAAATATGCATAAAACTCCCTACTATTTTGTTTCCGTAAGTGCCGAAGTCAAAGTGAGTGATACAGTATAGCTGAGTTAAAATACTGAAAAACACAAATACTGTTGTACCTGGGGAAAGTAAGATCGGATAGGTTTCAAATCGCAGGATTTCTTCCACCGAATTAAAAGTAGTAACCTGCATTGACTCCGGAAGTGAGAAAGTTCAGAAGTGAAACTTGTCTGACGCGAATCCAGTGACGGACGAGCTCATGGTACAAGGTTTTTGTCCACTGAAAGTTGAAATTACTCAGTTTCCTAATGGATTCCATCTTAAAGTAAGCATACCGCACGCGACAAAGTCGTCATCACCTTCCACGCTTTCGTATCCTTCGTGCGATATTTCAGTTATTTCACACCGCAACAGGTCCTCTAACACACAGTCCGACGTACTTAACTGGTCCTATTGTCTGTCCAAAATCGGTCCCAAAATTTACTTCGTAACCGTTTCTAGTCAGATGATATGCAATGTTAAAATGCCTTAGAATCAACGGTGACAGATACTGTCAGGTCTTGTTTCTGAATAAACCAAAAGCAAAACTAAATACAAACAAATTTTATTTCCTAGGGTATTTAATAAAATAACAAGGATATCGCTTAACACTCCTCTGGGTTACCTTATCACTCAACAGTTCTATAAAGTGCATGTGCTGAAGAGGAATTTTAATCCCTTTTTAAAATCTGTGCTCGTAACCAACTACTCGAGAGCTAAAAGTACGTCAAAACCCTTAAAGGCGAAGTTAAGACAGGTTATTTTTTTGTTTTCTGAAATTGGGAAGTTAGCCGGATTTCGTGACATCGTGTTTAAATCAGCGAAAGCGCCAGGCTTATCTGATCGTTTTGGTATATTATTTCTTCTGTTATTTAGCTCAAGAAGCTACAGGAGCGATTTGGAAAGGAAGAAGAGCTGCGTAAAGAACTGGAAGAGAAGCTCACAAAACTGATGGAAGAAAAGAATGAGCTGTTCCAGAATCTCCAAAGTGTAAGGAATATTAATTTTAGTGTCCTTTATTTTACAAATCAGGAACATTTAATTAACCTTGAAAAATAGTCGCAAAGAATGAAAACAGACACTTCTACAAGGCCACTTAGTCATGTAGATGTACTTTGAAATAGTTTAAGTCAGTCACTTAGTTTCCAGAATTGGCCACAGCAGAAAATGTCGCTAGTAATTAAAGAGCGTGCATTTTGACTCTTGCGTTTGCTAGTCGTTGCTAAGCGAGTTCTCTGTCAATTTAGTCTTCAATTTGAAATTACAGTCACTGCCGTGATTTTTCTGCGTCGCTCTCATGTCCCCAGTTGATAAGGCTCGCATTTTATGAATTGCCAGACATCAAATAACCTTAATTTCTTTTCAGAATACCAAACAACCACCCAGAGAGTCAGATTAGAACAAAGCGGGCTTTTTTTGCTTTAAGTGAGGATTCTATGATTTCGGGCGGATATCCTATCCTATACTGCTGTTGTCTTTAAATTCTCGGACCTCATGAGTGATTAAAAGGAAGTTTATAGAGACCTGAGTTAGGGGAAATACGCATTGCCTGCATGCTTAGCAGGCGCCGTTTACTTTTTAAGGACGAAGGGACAAATTTTCGGGAGCGCGCGTGCTCCCTTCTCCACTTAGCTTGTTCCCCTCGCGCGCCGCGCCTGCCACGCAGGCTAAATGAACATTCGAAATTTGTGTGTCACAGGAGCAAGACGCTTGTGCTGATGCTGAAGACAGAGCAGCTCAGTTTCAGAAAGAAAAGGAGAAACTTGAGGAACAAGTTAAGGTAAGGCGAGAAAATAAATAAATACACAATTGTTTAATTTTGAAGCCACAAAGCATAATATTTCCTGTAAACAAAATAAAAACACTATTGCCGATATGGAATACCAGCACAGATCTTATCAAGAAGTGCTTTTTGACGTTTACTTTTAAATAGCAGCTTACTTAAAATATCAGGTTCTAACGGTGATTTTCAAGGGCAAGACTCCAAATTAGACAGGATTTAAACTGTAGTGTTGATCTGGAGATCTGTTCCTTATACCGTAACTCAATTTTCGGTTGTAAGGGAATAAAAGGCCGTTTTAGAAGTTGATCACTTTACGTTAAACTTTTCATGGGACGAACCAAACTCTCTAATTTGGGTCGACCTATATAAAGTTAAAATCGTCTGTTGGGTCAGACATCAAACTTAGGACGCGTCGAACCAATCAACACAATAAGACCAAAACTCACTTTAAGCTGAACGAAGCTTAGTATGTTGTTTAGTTTAGTTCGTATGTTAAGACTCGACCTTTGTCGCGGAGACAATCTTCAGACGTTCCATCCGTCTGAAGCATAGAACGTGTTGGACGATCCAAACTCATTTAGACCAACTTAACTGAGCCAGACGTCGAACTTTTTGTGAAATTAACTCACTAAGTTTGGTTCGTCTCATGAAAAGTTCGACTTTTGGTGTAGGCCTTAAGTTACGTTCACACTGGACGAATTTTCGACTGCTTGAAAATTCGTGCGTCTCTTTGCTGCGTTCCCACGGAACCACCTTAACCGTTAAAAAATTCAGACGCCTAATCTTTCAAAAACTATGACTATAACGCCATTATCGAGGTCAAATGTTTAGCTGGTACAGCCATTTTTGACTGGCGCGGTGTGAACGCCTTAACTATCTAAGAATGGCTGCGATGAGTAGTGCCGAATCTAACCTCAAAGAAATGTAGTAGTCTCTATTGTTTAAGCTCATAAGCTTTGGATCTGGGACACGTTAATTTGGACGTCTGAGAGCAACTTTTAGCGTAAGCCTTTTCATGAAACTTTCCATAAGCCTTTGGTGTCTTCGCCTGAAAATTTCTTATGCCTACCAAATGGGCCTTGCTATTTGAGAGCATTTTAATCCATTTTTCAGGGTTGAACATTAAAGTGCTTTGCTTTTTTTACAGGATCTCTCCGAACAGCTTGACGATGAAGAAGAAAACAGCGCTGAAATGGCAGAGACGAAGAAAAAAATGGAAGGGGAAATTGATGATCTCAAACAAGACGTGGAAGACCTAGAATCCGCTCTTAAAAAGGTGTGACAGCTTGGTTATTAACTGGTTAAACTCTTATCAGTTTTGGGCTGGGAGTGATGTTGGAGTCAATTCGAAAGTGCTCATGTAGTTAACCTGCGAAAACAGCCCTCTCTCTCCTCGCCACTCACCGCCAGCGGTAAGGAGCGAGAAGAGAGGGCTGTTTTCGCAGGCTATAATGTAGTGGATCAGCTGGAGGACATATTTGTTTAACCTGCGATTCATTTCTAGTACTTTCAGTTTCCAGAGCGCTCTCTATATTGTTCGTTCTATTATCTCGCGAAATTAAGGGGGTAAAACTCGACTCTGGCATGTACGAAACAGATCAATGGGTGTAATAGACTCCGCCCACCTTTCCTCCCTCGCCCTACCCCATCAAAATGGCGGCCATTGTTTGATTTCTGTGTTATTCGTTTTCAGGCTGAATCAGATATCGCAGCAAAAGAGAAAAACGCCGAACAGCTTCAAGATGAGCTGGCCGCTCAAGATGAATCAATATCTAAATTATCAAAGGAAAAGAAAAATCTTGAGGAGGCAAAACAGGTTAGTAATCCAGAGAACATCGGCCAAACTGGAGAAAGCGAGCGTGAAAGTGAGGTATCTTAGGGCCCAAATATTCCTCTTAGCTCCTCCCCAATTTTTCTCTAGTCAAGTGTTCAGTAAGAACCCTTCTTTGTTCCACGCAGTGTACAAGAAAAAGATTGCTTGTTTAGCCTTAGCCATTTGGGGTTTTTCGCGGGAAGTCCAGCGGGAGCGGGACACGAAAAGGAGACGCTTTCTCTTGTTGTCCACTTCGCTTACCAATCGAAATGGAGAGTTTGCTAGCAGGCTTATCTTCTCATCTCATGATTTGATAAATTGCCAACCTGAAACTGACCTTTGCCGTTTACTGTAAACGTGATTCTATTCTATTCTCAAGTGTTCGTGCTACGTACTAGACTTTCTAAAAGTTTTTTATTAAATTTTCTCCTCTCATTTTGAAGCTCGCTTTGCTCGCTTTTAAGGACTAATGCCCGGTCGGCTTGCTGCAAGTCCAGCTACATAAGTGAGGGAATCAATTCTTGTTTTTCCAGGAACTTGAAGACCAGCTTCAAGAAGAGGAAAACAAAGTGAACCATTTAAATAAATTAAAGGGGAAACTGGAGGGAGAGATAGATGAGGTAGGTGAAAGGAATTGATTTGTTAAAAAGTGAAGGCGTGGTAGTGTAATGTGAAACATGCCAGATTCCGGATTCCATCTAGATCGGGCTCGAGCTTTTATCCTGTGGTTATTTCTGTAGACAAAATGATTTGTTTCTCATTGTCTCTCTTAACTTAGGTTTATACAATGGTAACCGGATGTATCATGTCCGGGATGATCCTGTTATGGACTATCTCCAGGGCATAGTAACAACACCCTTTATCCCCCGGGTCTGAGTTAACCCCAGGTCTTTAAAGAGTTAAAGCAACGACGACGGTGGTGGAACGTCTCTGTAAAAGTAAATTCACGCTGTTTCAAAATTCATCGCTCGTATTCCGTGTCGTTAAATTTGTAAAATTGTTGGATTCTTGAATTCTAAAGGACTCTATCTTAAGGCCTGTTTACATAGAGGTGGGTGAGCCCGGGAAGGTGAGGCAACCCTTTCAGGTAGGGTGAAAAAATAACCCGCGTTTACATGCAATCTTAAAACCCCGCCATCCCGGGGTGCACTTTCTCAAAACAGGAATGGTCGCTAAGCATGTAAACAAAAAAAAATGGTGGACAAACGACGTGTTTTGGCGATTAATGCTCTTCTAGTCTCACTTACTGCTCTTGATGCAACCTATCAGTGCTGTGGCTGATATCAAAGCCTCCACCAAAGGCAGATGGCACGAATTTGATTTAACACGAATCCGAACCCGGCTGAGGGTTGCTTGGCCAGACCGAGCAACCCGCCTCGGCGGGTCACCCTACTCAGCCCACCTATCATATAAGCGTGATCAAATTAAAATGAGAGGTCTTATGGACAGGCGGGTTACCGGTCCCCCACCTCCATGACAATAGGCCCTTTAATACTATTGCTTTTTTGCCGTTTTCGTTGCCATCGTCGTTGCCATTACTTAAGCTTCCTATTTTTGCCATTTGGGAGACTTCACAAAACTCATGAGTTCTTATTGTGGGTCGTAACAGCTAACGCCAGATGTTTGCAGTTATTTGGGACATTGTATTTTATGAAACTAGCCCGTGGAGACGGAAAGAAGAGTGGCAACAAGGTTAAACTTAAGTGGCTTAACCTTAATGTTCGTGATAGAACCACCTTAAAATACTGGCATAGTAACCACAAGTTTAGCTATAGTAGTTCCCGACGTTCAGACGATAGGGATTTTGCGAGCGTAGCGGAAGAAAAAGCAAGAAATAGGCTACCCCTAGCACAAAAAGGTAGCGTGACTACAACAAATGCTTGTTGTGTGTTGCATTGCAGATAGCAGACAATTTGGAAAGAGAGAAGAAATCCCGTGCAGATGTCGAAAAAGTTAAAAGGAAACTCGAAGGAGACCTTAAGGCGAGTAACTTTTAAACTCCTAATTAAGAGCGCCATAATTAGAATTCAAAGGAGTTCCTAGTCATAAATACCAAAAAACCGGACGGTACCTTACAATTTTGACCAAGGGAAGCCTTGACTTAACCTCTGAAGTGACGAACATCAATATTCTCCCAACAATATCAAAATACAATCAAGAGAGAGAGAGAGAATTATGAGAATTAATAAAATGATCATCTTGGAGAATTAATTTATAAAGAAAATACAAGGGAAATTAATGTTTAATGAGTGTTTAGAAATCAGATGAAAAACTGCTTATTTTTGCATCCTTAATTTCTCCCTCTATAATCATGAAGTAGTATCGAGCATTCGACACAGTGTTTCATCACCAAATAAAACATCGCGAATTTCGTCCAAAATACTCCGCTGCGCGTTGTATTTTTAACCCTCTTCTCGGTGTTTCATCTGGTGATGAAACACTGCGTCTCATGCTTTATATGTTAGTTACCAAATTCTCGCAACCAATTCTTTAAGTAAATGTCTGGAGATCAGTCGGGAGAATTTGAATGTTGGGACTTAAAGAGATAAATCTCTACTTATAGACCACTTTATGGCGAGATCATTAGTCAATCAGGCTGACTTTTGAATCTGTGGGCAAAATTCTATGGTGGGAAACTGGTCGTCATGATACGAAGTCGTTTCGATACGACCTCAAGCACTGAAATTATACAAAAAAATTTCGATCACTCCGATTATAGTTTGCGCGTCGTGAACAAAGAAAACATTTGGGGTGACGATTCATCGTTCCGTAAGCCAACTAGTCACACCTCGACTGATTAAACTTGTATCGAAACGAGCGGTAAACCCATGGTGTCACCGCTGAAATGAAACATCTGTAGGCGAACTTTTACATAGTACTATTTATTTCTTAGGATTTTACAAAACGAAATCTGATTTTTTTTGGTGAATTTTTTATTTGGCCATTGTTAGGGGTGAAAGTGTAAGGTTCAATTAGTAAATTTATGGAAGTCAACTTCAAACCAAGGGTGACGTAAATTGGAAGAGTTACTAATCGTTATTTACTAATTTATAAGTATAATAAATATACCGACTCTATTTTTCATTATTTTTGTGTATTAGATGACCCAAGACAACCTGGAAGATGTGAAGGGTGAAAAATCGCGCCTTGAAGACGATTTGCGCAAGTAAATGTCTCGTTTTTTCCAGTGTCTTTTGTCTGATTAACTTCTAAAGGTTTTATAAATTAAACTTACCATTGTGTCTGATTATGCCCGCAGGAAAGAGCAAGAACTCAACGAAAGCAATGGCAACAACGAGAATCTTCTTGCGCAGATCGATTCCCTTAAAAAGAAGATCAGGGAGTTAGAAGTATGTTTCTCGGCCCCTTTTCTTCCAGCCTGTATCTTGTATGCCCATGGCGGCGTATAGCCGTCGCATTTGCCCGTTGCAATCAGTGTTGCATGTATTCTCACGAAACAACATAGCATCTGCGGTAGAAAATACCCCTTGGAAACCCCTGGAAATGCCATTTCTGAGACTCTGAATTTCAAAATGTCCCTAGATGCCTCGGCCCCCAAGAACTTGTGCCTTTGGTGCGAGTTCCACTAATGCCGTCTACTATTCATTATCAGCCTGGTACTCGAAAACTTTTTGACCGCCGATTACCATTAAGGTATACACCCTTAATTAAGCGGGTGCTTAATTTCAGAGTAAATCTGATTTGAAGAGAATCTCACGCTTTAATGGGTCATTACTCATGACTTTGGGACAATGCTAGATAAAAAATTTCAGTTAACCCTCTAAGTCCCAATAGAGACCAATGTCAATTTCCTCCTAACGATATCCATACATTGTCAAGAGATTAGGTTGTTATAATTAATAAAATGATCACTAAAGAAAAAAATGCCTTGGGCCCGGTTCCTTGGAAGATGGTTAAGTTTAACCCAGGATTAAGCCACATTGCAAGCAACGTTTTCTTGTCTAAGAACATGCAACTCAAGGTTACAAAATACTGATGAGCCTTTACTACGAGACAGTAATGATAACACAGAATGGTACCCTAAGAAATGCATAAGAATGTAAAATACAAAAACGGAACAAAATTTAAATCCTGGATTCACGCTAATCGGCCTTCAGGAACCGGGCCTTGCCAGATCATTTATCAAATTCTGTCAACACAATCTTTAAGAAAATGTATGGAGATCAGTTTGGAGAATTTGTATGTGGATATTGGATATTAAAGGGTTGAAGTTTTAGTTACAATTCTAATGCAAGTGCACTCCTGGCTCCGCCGGTTCAAACGCTGAATAGCGCTCTCCATCGGATAAATTACTACTCAGCGGATAAATATTAGGGAAACCAATTGCCCTATCCGCTGGATAGAGATTTATCCATTGGATAGCGTTATCCATCTTTCGAACAACTAGGCCCAGTTCATTAGGCAATGAAACCTTCTAGAAAGCTTTAACCAACTGTAATGTTGTTTGTGCTCGTCACGTTGTGGCCTTATTAATTGGGTTTGACAGTCTTCTATTTTCGGTCAAGTCCTTTGCGAGATTTTCTTTGTGAGGTTTTTTTTTTCTGGCTGAATTTTAATGAATCATTAACTAAACAGTTAAAAAACCCTCTAATATGCAGTTATGTAGTTATGCATTCTTTCAAAGTCACGAGGTGGTAATTCTGTCGCTGTACCGAGCGAATGAATAGGCGCGGTGTTTAGTGCACTTCTGCGCTGACATTTAGAGAGTTTTCGGTTATCTTCTTTTGAATTTAACCGCTTTAAAACATGTGGGCAGCAGAATGTGACAAGTACAATTTCTTTGACTCTCCGGTCAAGGAATCGGCTGAATTGGCTGTAAGTAGATCGATCTTCTATGTCGCGTGTAAGATAAGGAGATTTAACGCATTCCAGGCAATTTACACCACTCTGTAAATGTGCCCCTGTGTTTATAGGCGGCACAAGCCTGAGTTTAAAGATGCCAAGGCAAAAGCCATTCGCAGTTACCAGAAGGACAGTGAATTTTACAGTGCACGCTCATTTAGTATTTGGTCGGAGTAGCCCATTGTATTATGTTTGATGTAAAGTGTTATGACCTCAGCAGCCTGTTAACAAGGTGTGTTTCAACGACAGTTGTATTCGTTTAACTGACATCTGTATCTCTCTCTTTATTTTTATAGGCCAAAGTCGAGGAACTCGAAGAAGAACTTGAAATTGAGAAAAATGCGCGAGCCAAGGTGCGAAGCAATTTTTTTAGTAGTTAATTGCCAGGTGTTGTAATATTTTGCTATGAGTCTGTGCCAACATGTCTGGATGCAGGCCGACAACACAAACTGTTTACCGACTGAACAACTGATTTGAATTTGAATAACATTTTTCTCGCTTTTGCAAACACCGGATTACGCAATTACGACCTTACGCTAATTTAAATAATTCTGGGAATTCTGCGTTCATTTAGCGTTACTAGACATCTTTGACCATAGATTAAAACTTTCCATCGAAGAGTCCTTTTAAAAATGCGCCTTTTGTTAAGCAACGTAAAATTTGGTGGCATCTTCAATTGTGATCTGGACAAAGTTGTTGTGATTTCACTCCCACTAGACGAAGTCAAGGCGAGATTAACGGTCACTCTCACGTTTTGAAAATTTGTGGATAAAATCCCATGGTGCTAAACCGGCTTCCTTAGCTATAAATAGTACTATTTATGTCTCAGAATTTTACCCCACAAAATGGGAATTTTTCGTGCAGTTTTTTCTTTCGGCCACTTTAAGAAGTGAAGGGTTCTTGAGAAGGGAACTTTTGTACTAATGTACTCCAATAATTTATGGACACACACGGGTTTTTCTAACAGGCGCTCAATTAAAAGGACTGCGAAATATTCCAATAAAACCTCTTCATCAGTATTTTCCAATGGTACGATATGTTTTTTTCTGAAATTTCAAAAGAGATGGTTAAATGAAATTTATCGATCTCTTGTGTGATCTAAGGTGATAAAGTCGCGTGCCGGTGTTTGTGGGGGCTTCATCTTTGTTTCCAATTAACCCTTTATGAGTTTTCATGTAGTACCGGAAGTATCTTACAATTCTCAAAGAACGTGTTCACATGCTGGTATTAAATGTTGACAGTTTTAAATCCTTGTCACTGTCAGAAGGAATGATGAAGTTTTGTAAGGCGATCCTAACTTTTGAGTCTGTGGACGAAATTCTATGATGTGACCATTCCAATGAAATCTCAACGGCATTTCTGTAACGTGGTGCTATTTTACATAATGAAATTTGGCAGTTTTGCCCAAATTTGCCTTTGGCCAAAAAGGGTTAAAAATTCGTATGATTTGGTTTGATTTTTATTATCACTTTGCTGACTTTACCCTCTGGGTCTAAAAACCCGAATGCTTGTAACAACCTTGTCACGTATAAATTATCTCCAATACAATTTTTTGATGATATAATTCATTGCGTAGGCTAGTTCAATGTATCAGTTGGGATGCTAATGCCAACCACAGTAAAATTCAAGTCATTCATTGTATGAATCGTTTGTGAAATAACTGAAATTTGTCATAATATACGAATATTGAAAGATTTTCATACTCACTCCCCAGGATACCCAGGCTATCAGGTGCTCAGTTTAATTTGCTAAGTTTTCAATCTGTTCTGAAACAGGCTGAGCGCGCTCGAATGGAGCTTGAGAGGGAGTTAGACGACTTAAATGAACGCTTGGAAGAACAAGGCGGCGCCACCCAAGCACAGGTAAAAAAAGTGGCTTTACGGGGGCAGTCTGCGTGGTAAGAGGAATCAGGGGCGGATCCAGGATTTTTTTTAGGAGGGGGTGCACTGGTCTCTTGCTCTACTTCAACACCAATAAACCACATAATTGTTTTTTTTGCAGAATACCAGTTGTATTAGAAAACAGCAGGTCATCTCAGGGGGGGGGGGGGGGGGCCCCCCCCCCGCCCCCCCCCCCCAATCCCCCCCCGGGGAATAAGGGGGAGGGGGGGGGGTTCCTTTTCCCCCCCCCCCCCCCCCTTTCTCCACTTTTTTTTTTTTTTTTTCCCTCCACACTTTCCCCGCCTTTTTTTCCCCCCCCCCCCCCCCCCCTTTTCTCTCGCCCCTTTTTTCCGCCGCGTTTTTCAATTGCCATCATGGATCGAATCAAGGCTATTTCTAAAGCGGGGTTAGACGCACCCATTCCATCAATCATAATCGATCAACCCGCTCCTTCTATGACAAGAAGAGAGTGGTTAGGAAATCCCATTATACGATCGAGGGGGGGGGGGTCGCGAACACCCTGCACCCTCCCCCTAGATCCGCCCCTGGGAATGAAGGGGAAGGGGGAGGGTTTCCTTTTCCCCCCACTCCCTCCCTTTTCTTCCATTTTTTTTTTTCGTTCTCGCTACAAGCTTTGCGCAGTCTTTCTTCCCCACCCCCTGCCCGCTCTTTTGCTCGCGCCATTTTTCGCGCGGTCTTTGACTCAAGTTCCTCATTCTTTGCTCCGAAACCGAACGGAAACGCTTGCTATGCAGGTTAGCGTTGTTTCGGCAGCTTGTGCAGAAGGAACGTGATTTGGTTATCCTGTTTATCGTATCTTAATGATGTTAAACTCTATAATGGAGGTCAAAAGCGCTGGGACCTTTCCAGTGATATTAGTAAAAGTAGTGACCCCTCCCCTCCCACCCAAACAAAGTTGAATTTTGAGTAAAATGGATGGAAATGAGTGCTTTTTTGGCCAAAACATTACTGCGGGGAGTGGGGGACCACAGGATGAACCCAAAGCCGATAAAAAATTGTCTTTAGGAGCAGAGTCCTACCTAACAATTACATGGAAGGGCTTTTTCGCACAGTCACAAGTTATTTTGTCCTCCATTGTAATTTTTGGGCTGAGTGATTAATTTATCATCCATCATTCTATCGTTTGTCCTTATCAGCTATGCCTCGCCTTATATTTCGGCACGTTAATTTTTTTGCTTTTCTCAGATGGAACTCAACAAGAAACGCGAAACTGACATCACAAAACTCCGACGAGAACTCGAAGAACAGGCCTCCCAACACGAACAATCCGTCAACAGTATGCGAGCGAAACAAAATGCGGCCTTGCAAGAACTTCAGGAGGATTTAGATTCGTTGAAGAAAACAAAATCGAAGTGAGTGTTTGGTGTTACCGAAGAGATGACAAGAAAGGCTCTAACCTTTTTCACGGTGACTTTCCTATTTTCGCAACCAACATGTCATTTAATTCTGTTTTCAGAATCGAGAAGGAGAAGAACGCTCTGCAAAGTGATAATGATGAACTTGTGGGAAACCTAGAGACACTGGAAAAACAGAAGGTAGCGTTGCTTCTTAAAGGTGATGTTATACGAGACGATTCGCAACGACGATAGCATTACAACATTGTTGCAACATTGTTCAATATTGCAACGCTGTGTGTGTTGCATTTAAAATCGTCGTTGCGAATCGTCTCCTGTAATATCGCACCTTAAACCTATACGAAAAGAAAACGGTGGTAAAGCAAGGGTGTCTAAATTTATTATTACAGTCGAACCCCGCTACTTCGAAGTCCTAAGGGAAATGAAAAAAAGTTCGAAATAGCGGGGCTTCGAAATAACCGGGGAAGCGTAAAAGGGGAAGGGTAAATCCAAGAGCATTCGATCTTCCTTCGAAATAGCGGGGACTTCGAATTAACCGAGTTCGACATAGCGAGGTTCGACTGTATTTATTTATTTATTTATTTATTTCTACTTTTCTTCCACAATTGCTATGAACCCTGCAATTTATTATAAGAGGGGAGGTTATCTTCAACTCAAAGCTTAGTGTATTTCGACTTCTGATGTTGCGTTAATCGTGGACGCGGTTGTTTTCATGTACGATACTTTGAAAACGGATCTCTAGATCTCTCTGTTCTTGTTTTCAGATCCAGTGGGACAAACAGAACCGCCATCTCGAAGAACAGCTCTCTGAGCACAGATACCAGGTAAATGCACGTCACCAGTTAAGGAGAAGTAGGGAGAAACACTCGACTACAGGTTTCAACCTACACTTCTTCTACACTGCCTTGGCCGGCTTCCTGTGCGCTTATCAGCAGAACAGAGCTCAATGAAGGTTTCTTAATTTGTTAATTATTAATTATTTGATTCGTAGGTGGACGATTTGAAGAAACAGGTTGGAGATTTGTCGGTCGTTAACTCTCGTCTTGATAAGGAGGTCGCGGATCTTGGATCCAAACTCGAGGAGAGTGAATCCAAATTTGGAAGTCTTACGAAAGCAAAGAAAGGTCAAGACCAGACAGTCGAAGAACTTAAGAGAAACATTGAAGATGAGACAAGAGTAAGTGGTTGTTTCTCATTAAAAAACCGTTTGCTGAAAATCTGGTTGGAAAGTGAACTGAACACGAATCGCAGCGGAAAATTTCCGGGAGCAACGGAATGTAAAATGAAGTCCTGTTTTTCTGGACGGAATGTTCCAAACGGTAATCTGTGTTCCATTTCTTCAAAGCCGTCTTTCAGCTTTCGCGGTCTTTTTTAAGTAAATGGAACTGACTTATGTAAATAATAAATTTAAGCGATTCCGGGACGCAGTTCACCAGTCCTGAATTTTGCTTTGCCCAAACCGTGAACCGATAGTTTGTCTATGTAAATGGTAAACGGCCAGTGTTACCAATTTGTTTTGAGATAAGTGGTTCGGAAAGCTTGTATCACAAAGTGGTGACAGCCGTTAATTACCGTGCGTTGTTCTTTTCGTTAGCTTAAACTCGACGCCCAGAGCAAACTCAAGAATGCCGAAGCAGAACTCGACAACATGCAGGAACAGATCGAGGAGCTAGAGGACGGCAAAGCTGATCTGCAGAAACAGCTTACGAGAGCCAACGCAGAGCTCTCTCAGATGAAAGCCAAGTTTGAACAGGAAGTGTCTGGCAGGCTAGAGGAACTAGAGGACGCTAAGTAAGCACCAACAGACACTTTTCACGTCCGTATATTTCTAATTGCATCGTGTCTGTGGTTGATTCAATTTAGACTACCAGCCGTTAGACTATCTGCTCACAACCGTAGCCCTGTCACCCCTAGAGGTGGCCAATTACCTTGTAAACTGAAGAGGTTTCATTTAAAAGGTCACGCTATAGGATTTCATCCCTTGACTCAAAAGTTAAAACTACATACTAAATAAATAGTAGCATGTGAAAGTACTGTTGACGAGGTTTCATTTGAATGGCCACACTATAGGATTTCGCCCACAGACTTAAAAGTTAGAATCATCAGTGGAAGGGCGATAAATTACTATTGAAGTATCACGATGCCAAAGAAATATTCGGGATCTCGTTTATTTCCTCATTGATGTTTTATTTTTTTAGCGGGTTGGGGGGCTGCTTTATCGGCTCGTATTCCCTCAGCAGTCAGTCACCAAACCCCACCTCGCATGTCTCGATCAGCGATTCCTGGACTTAAAATCGGCCGCCATAGTGTAAAAGTCGCTATACTGCCGCCGCATTCGTAGCCCCCTCGGGTGTTTAGTTTGGTCTCCTTTACACTTCGATCATGCCCTGCCTATATCTCGTTTTGTCTCTTAAAGGCAACCCTCGAAGGGGGAGTACCGTCATAGTGGAATTCTGAATTTCAACTCAAATCTTCGAAAACAGTGTTTATCATGGCGAGGTCCCCGTAAAGGCGAGAGTTTTTTCATAACATTTTTAACGCTGATACTTTCTTTCAGGAAAAAGCTGACTCAGAAACTAGCGGAAACCGAAGAAGCGCTCTCCACCGCCTCGCAAAAAGCTAGCAATGCTGAGAAAGCCAAGAACAGACTTAATTCAGAGTTGGAGGATGCCCTTATCGACCTGGAGAAGGTTAGTTGAGTCATGGCAACGGAAGTACCAGGCGCAGCCATTGACGTTTTCTCCATAAAATAACTGTTCGAAAGAGCAAAATTAATATCGGCCAACTGAAAATTTCTGAATCTCGAGAAAGGCTCAAAATTTCTGGATAACCGTTCCATTCGACTAAGATATTCAGAGTTTTTAGGTCGGCTCCAAATTGACCACACGGGCTTCCAAAGTATAGGGAATAATATTTGAGACACTTCTGACGTAGTTTAAATCATTTGGTCGTTGGGTGCCCCTGAATTGCCAAACGTGAAATCCAGGTGTTTAGGGCTAAGCTCTTAATGGCCGAAGTCAGAGTAGTTGAAAGACAAGGGTACATGGTGGAATGTTAGCGGACGAGAAACTCAGAGAGGGAGAATTTAGAATCAAGGACAAGTTGCTGATTGGAACCCAGCAAGAAAAGAGTGATGTATTTCAACCTCAGATACCTTATTGTCGGACGCCGGTGCGTCGTACCAAAGGCGCCGTAATGAGAAGTTCTTCGCGGGGAAAGAGAGGCAAATTGTACTCAGTTCTGATGAGGTGTTATCGAAATGTAGCTGTAAAACGACGTTGTTCTAAAGAGAAAATCCTTGAAGCCTTTATACCATCACAGTTTCATTTAATGTAATTAAAACCGAAATGTCTTGATCTTTGAATATCTTTCTAACAAGTTTTTTTTTTGTTTTCTGTCGGTAGGCTCAGACAAACAGCGCCAACCTCGAGAAGAAACAAAAGAAGTTCGATCAACAAATAAACGAGTGGAAGATAAGGTGTGACGAGCTGCAAACTGAGGTGGACAGTGCACAGAAAGAAGCTCGCAACTATTCCACTGAGGTTAGTCGTATTTTCTGTCAGTCATAACTCATTCAAGCGGTTTTTATACATTATCGAAAGACGCTTTACGATTGGCTGAAAAATCTCAGGTGACATTCATGACCAGTCAGAAGTAGTACTATAACCAGTCCAATTCTTAGTTTCATGCCTGTAGTTGCTTTGAATTTTGATTGGTTCATCAGATTTTCAGCGCCTGTTCCGAAATAGTAGAGAGATTTAAAATCACGTTTAGGGCAAACGCGAACGGCAATTGTGCCACGTGATAATTTTTTTTTATAAGAAATAAGTGGTTTTATGTAGGGTTGATCCATAAGAATTACTATGCACAGTTTTTATCTGCTTATTTCTTAGAACAAAATTACAGAATTTGTCAACTGAAATCTGTTAAATCTATCCGTTTGCCGTAGACTTGACTCTTGAACTCTCTAATAACCTATTTTTGATTTACGACACTCCATTTAAGCCACTCTCACCAATACTAGGAAATTGCTGTATTAATTTTCTTTACACACAGTTCTGGGACCGTTAGAAACTCTGTGCTCTAGCAGCGCTCGGTGGCCTGTAGTACCTAACTTTTGCTTTCGGATGACTAGAAAATCTTAGTTTTATCATACAAATCATATGCTGGGCACCCTAGATTTTATAGGATCAGAGCAGTGGGCTCCCTTCAATTTTCCTTAGAGCACAGCCTTGTGACTTAGGTCTTAAAAGCTGATGTCAGGTTTTGTTTGGTTATAGATGTACAAACTGAAGGGTCTGAATGAAGAGATGAGTGAGCAGATTGAAGCGATGAAACGAGAAAAGAAGAGTCTCGAAGGTTTGATATTTGTAAATTGATACCGCTAAATCAGAGAATGCACAATGCCTTTGTGTAAAAGCCTACAGAAAGCTTTCTTAGTGCGACTTTGTAAAATTGCATGCTAATCTTGTGTTTTGATCTTTGTGTACCAGCCGAGGTTGCTGAGTTGGCGGATCAGCTTGGAGAGGGCGGCAAGTCATTTGTGGAGACTGAGAAGGCAAAAAAGAGACTGGAGATGGAGAAAGACGAACTGCAAAGCGCGTTGGAGGTACAGTCATACATTATGCTCGTAACCTTTCAGTACTTGATTGGGGCGCCACCCCCGTGTACAATGGAACGCAGTGTTAAGGACACTTCCTTTTGTTTTACAGGAAGTAGAAGCTGCTCTTGAAGCCGAAGAATCTAAAGTCACACGTGTGCAACTTGAACTCACTCAGTACAAACAGGAGGCTGAGAAGAGACTGGCCGACAAAGACGAGGAATTAGAGAACCTAAGGTATCTCCCGTAAATTTAGCAGTTAGTTTTAACCATTTTTGTTGGATAGGCTGTCTCCCACAAGTGGAGCGAATTCTGTGTGTTCTGATTGGTTACCCGAGCGGGTAAGAAAAGAGGTCTGCGTAGCAGGCGCCTGATAGATTTGGTAAGTTTTTATAGAGCGCGCAAGGGTAACAAGCGCGCGCGCGTCATCGAAATTCTCACTTCACCCTAAGAAAATCGACGCCTGCAAGAAAGGCCAATATCCAGCCGTCTTGACCTCACGCGGTTATACAAGAAATTCCTTTTCCTTTTCTTTTATAGAAAGAACCACAGTCGTCAATTGGAGAGTTTGCAGGCGTCTCTGGAAACCGAAGTCAAAGCAAAGAGCGACTTGGTAATTACTAGCCGTTTTATTTACTCTGCCATATTCTATTCCCTCTCAGGTGAAGAATTTTCATCAAATATCTTTTGCTAGCTTTTTAATAGACTTTATCTTTATCTCGGGTTTTACACGCGAGGACAGTAATTTGGATCTTGCTTTTCCTGCTTTCAGGTGCGTGCGAAGAAAAACTTGGAAGCAGCCAACAACGAGCTGGAAGTTAATCTGGACAACGCTCTCAAGGTAACCACGTCTTTGAATCATTTTCTTGTTCATTTTTTTTTTCTCCGTACAGTTTTTGTTTTTGTCTTTGTAATCATGAGAATTTGTTTTATTCCTTTAAGCACTAAGCTCAAAATACAATTTCTCCAGACTGGCTTTCATACATTTTTCGAAAAAATGGTTGAGAGAACTAGTTAAAAGATCAAAGCATATTAATTTTCCTCTAGTGATCATTTTATTATTTCTCATTACCTTTCTAATTGATTATTTACTGATTATTATTTGGAGAAAATTAATATTGGTCACTTTAGGAACTGAAAGAGTTAATGCGTTATTATTGGTTTTGTCGTTAATCAGGCCAACGGAGAGTTCCAGAAAAACGTAAAGAAGCTGCAACAACAAGTGAAGGTGAGTTACTCGCAGATCTTGCCTGATAATGGCCTACAACTCTTACAGCATTTCCTAAGTGTATAGCTAAGGTGAAGTACAAATCTGTGGCAAAGTTTCAGTGGAGGTGAAAATTGGTCATAACGAAAACTGTAGGATTGATGATTCTCATAATTCCACTCTCATAAGCTCAGGGTTGCAACGAGCTACTCGCTCCACCGTGCATAACACGGTATTTTTATGATGACGGTTGTTACTGAAATCAGTGTTTCTCAACAGTTATTAATTACCACCTGGAAATCGTTCATCCTAGGGGATATGCATGGAACAGAGTAGCATAGCTTGTGTCCTTGTTGTCCGGCTGAAATGACTGTTTTATGAAGGAACAGCACTGGCTCAATTCTTTTATCCGAACTCAGTTTTACCTTTGCCTTTTGCCCTTAATATTAGGTGCGGTTACACTAGAGCATAAACCAAAGCTTTCCTTGTGGAAATAGCCTCGGTTGGGTTAACTCTGGTTATTTATCACTTTCATGTTTGGGGTTACACTGTGATAAATTGCCCGAGGGAAATTTCCTCAAGGCAGTTTCACTTAACGAAAATCGGTTACACACAAAATAATAGTTTCTTCCCCGTGGCAAGAGCCTGTGCGCTTACCACTTGTATGGAAATCTCGGTGAAAAATTTCCGTGAAATGGTACTGGTATGTTTTTTGGCACCGAAAACCGGAACAGGATTGAGTTGTACCATTCACAAAATACCGGAAAGAATTTTTCGCTTTCTTTCGACATGAAGCCTGGCACTAGTAATCCAAACAAATGGTACAGAAAATTTCCGTCGTTTCGGGAAAGCGGGAAAAAGGTAATACCTCGAAAGGTATCACTTTTTTTCCGGAAAATTTATATCTGGATGAACCGTTCCATTTGAATTCTACCCGGAGCTATTTTTAATCCTTGGTCTCCTTCACCCTGTCATCTTTATTTAGGATCTGCAATTAATGTTGGAAGAAGAACAGCGTGGCCGAGATGAAGCCCGAGAAGCCGCGTCCAAAGCTGAGCGACGCGTTGGTGAAATCAACTCTGAGCTGGAAGATTTGCGCGGCCAATTAGAGCAGGTATAATGGTCTTATTTTCCACTGGTGGTACTTGCTTCCCTCTCCGCTAAAGTTGTAGATAACAGGTTTCTTTAAACTCTTTCTAGCAGGCCTAGTTTAAATGTCGATTTTTTCCATTTACCGAACCTATTCCCTTCAAAAAGGTACATGAAAAACATCGACGTGTGAATCAATTAACTCCGACATAGCTAATTTGGGTCGACTCATGTATAAGTTCGAGTGCCCCACATGGGAATTTCGACTGTGGAGCGTTTCAAACGTCGATATGTTGACGTGCCGAACCTAATGCATAAATTACTATAATCATTCTATTTTCACTGGTAAGCATTTTAGACCATTGTACATCGTGAAATATACGTCTTAATCAACCGTCGAATTTGTTTCATTTGGGTAGACCCAAATAGTTATTTAGTTCGGCACATGAAACGTTCGGCCTCGGCGTTTAAACTGGACCCCATAAGATTAGAAAGGTAGCCGAAATTAAAGGTAATGTAGATTTCATGCGTTAAATCATTCATGAAAAAAATGTGTCGTGTGATCGTACTGCCGAGGACCTTGCCTTTGAATGGTCAAGATAATGAAGATTTCATCCAGCCCGATTAAAACGTTAAATTTGCTCAGCATGTCCCCTAGTTGATTCTGGAAAAAGCGCGTTAACAGTATGCTAAACATGAGGCGTTTTTGTTTTTTGAAAGGCCGAGCGTCTCCGTCGACAAGCTGAACAGGAGCGTCAAGAGGCGGTCGAAAACTTGTCGGCGGCTCAAAACCAAGCGAATACTCTTTCTCAAGCCAAACGCAAGCTGGAGGGAACCATCGCCCACATGCAAGAAGAAGCAGAAGACCTGGAAAATGAAGCCAAGAACGCTGATGATAGAGCCAAGAAGGCTGCTATAGAGGTTAGAGCCTTTCAAATTTCCAGAAAAAAATTAAACGATGTAACCCGAAAAACAGAGCCAAAAACATGTGTGGTTATACTTTATTCGCAGAAACTACGCGGCCGGGATACGTGGGAATTACCACGAATCTTTAGATTATTTTGACAACCCCAAAAAATCCCTACTAAAATAACGCCATCCGAAAAAAATACTTGCCAAATATTCCTACCCAAAAAGTATTTGGGAATCAAAATTTTCAAACCCAAAAATATCCTTTGACCATCGCCGTCACTTGAGTAGGAGTACCCCCCCGGTATGTTTTCTGTATATTTTTAATGGACTAAAAGCCCAACAATTTTTTATTTTCCAGCTGGCCCGTGTACAACAAGAACTGTCACAGACCTTGGATCGTTTGTCCAATTCAGAGAGAGGGCGCCAATCAGCCGAGCGCCAATGTAAAGATCTAGAAGTAAAACTTGAAGAACTCGAGGCTCAAGGCGGCAAAGCTCTAAAGAATCAAATCAAGAAATTAGAACAAAGGGTAAGCATTTGAAAACAAAAACTTAGGTTCTGGTAATATATTATTACATTCAACTCTGTCTATGACAGATACCATTGAGCTAGAGCCGACGAGCACTGCATTTACGTCTGAGAGAGTAGTCCACCATAAATTATAGGGAGATAAAAAAAAAAAGGGAATGAAGAAAGGCAGGGATCTGTATGGACTGAATACATGAAAAGGATATTTATATTATCCGGTCACGCATTATCGCAATACATAACCAAGTGTGAAAACATAATTTTAGCATTTGACCACGGGTCGGGGGGGACTAGCTCAATAAGCGGAACGCTTGACTGCGGAGAGGCAGGGCGCGGGTTCCATCCCGAAGCTGCGGGAGCACTAGCTCAATCGGCGGAACACTTCGCTTGGCTGCAGAGAGGCAGACGGTCCCCAATACGTTCTTCTGGATGCGGGATTTCCCTTGTGTGGAGCTCGGGATGCGGGATTCGCCCGATTTCTAGGCCGGGATTCAAGATTTTAAAGCCAAATTGGGGCGAGATTCGGGATTGAAGAATGCCCAAAATAACTACTGAGATTACGGGATTGAGGGAAAATTTGGGGACCCTCGAGGAAGGCCGAGGGTTCAATCCAGAGGCAGGACCACTTCTCAGAGTCTTAAAATAACTAGAAAGTGAAGTTACTGTCTTTTACCAGCGAACGGTTAAACCTTCACGTTGCTCGGATGAGCACGTAAACTGGCGGGCTGTCCCGTCTCCAGCTGGAGACGTTAACGTAGTGTCCTCAATTAGTACTTTGGTGCTAAATACATTGACACTCAAATAAAGTGTGTTGTTTTCACACCAGGTCAGGGAATTGGAAGTAGACCTTGACAATGAAACAAGACGAGCTGGAGAAAACCAAAAGAATTACAAGAAACAGGAGAGGCGTCTGAAGGATGTCCTCCAACAACAAGAAGAAGATCAGAAGAATCTTCAGCACTTCAAAGACCAGATCGACCGCCTCAACAAGAAGGTCAAGAGCACGAAGGCCAACCAGGAAGAAGCGGTAAGATTTCGGTTCTGCTCTTTCCACTTCCGGTGTGGTGTTCTGATGCATCGCTTTTTATTTCCGGTGTCGTTTTTGCCGTTTCACTGCCAAAAATAATCAAGGTCAAAAAAGGACAAAAATTTCAAGTTCTGTTTTGTAAAATACTGAAAACAAATAGTACCATATGAAAGTGCTAGTGCCGAGAAGGTTTCATTTGATTGGTAACACCTCAGAAGTTCGTCCACAGATTTAGTCTCTTCCAGGCTCTCAGATTGTTGGGATGACGCATAAGTGAAAGAAACGCGAAAAGGGGACGGTTCCTCCCTTTTTATTTTCATGTTCGCGCTTTCTCAATTTCGCGGACCCGACTATCTCGGAGCCTGGAACAGGCTACCACAGATTCGAAAGCCAGAACTCCATACTGAATAAATAGTACCATGTGAACATACTGTTAAAGAGGTTTTATTTGAATGTTCTCACCCCAGGAAATCCTCCACAGACTCAAAAGTTAGAATAACCTTACAAAACTTCCATCACTGATTCTCTCAGGTAGTGAAAAGGTTAAGAATAGTCTGAAGTGCCTGAAGTAACAAGCTAAGTCACTAGCGAAAGAAAAAAAAAACACCCGAAACGGTTTTATTTGAATTTGAGTGCCGGTCTCCTGGATATGCAACATGAAATCTCCTGGTCTCCCGTACTGGTCAGCAAATCTCCCGGACAAAACTTGAGTTTTAAGCATTTATTTTCTTTTTCTGATTTAGTTGGAATCACTCCCATATTTAATTTTGTATCATAGTACGGTTTCTGTGGCACTTCTTATACGTTTCATCATTGACAAGACCATCTCGTCAAAAACGCGAATTTCGACAGTTTGCACCTCATGTAACACTTCGTATAATGTCCACATATGTCTTGCCGATGAAAGAATTCTCAGAGAGAAGTTTAACAATAGGGGATATGAGTGCAAAAGTCTCACGTATCTTTCTCATGTTTACCTTTCAGGAGAACCTAGCCGCCCAGTATCTCGCCAAAGTGCGTAAATTGCAGAAAGACCTGGAGGACGCTGAGGATCGTGCAGAAACCGCTGAGAGCGCCCTGAGCAAGGCCCGCAGTCGCGCCCGTGCTGGCGGTGGATCCGCAATCGGCAGGCAGACTTCTCGAGAGGTCTCTAGGCCTTTAAGTTCTTCTTCGCACCTTAACTATCATTCTTATCCATCCTCGTTACATTTACTATCGTCTCCATCATCGAACAGACTCAACAGACTGACCGACAAATACTCGAGTTTTTATTAAGCTTAAAAGCGGTTGTAATGCATTGTCTAATAGTTGAGGTGATGACTGAAGTTACTTCGCTCATTTTCTATGATCTCCTGTTTCTGTAAATAAGCTGTTTCTGAGGGAATTTATTCCTATCTCTCTTTGGACTTAACATCTTTTCTTTATGTTTTTCGCAATGTTTTCTCCTATCTTGTTCAGTGTTCGTTGTCACTGGTATCTCGCCATGTCATTCAACGATTTTTCTTCCCCCTCTGCTCCCCCACAGTACTTCTATCACTACCCCTGTAGGTAGCCCAGTTACACAGAATCCATGTAGAGATACGCTTAATTTTGCTGTTGGAAATAAAGCTTTTCCTTTTAAGTTGTCCTTCCCGTTTGAGCTTTTATAATCTGCAAGAATTACAACCAAGAAAAGTCTCAAAACTGTCTGAATTTGTTCTTGATGAAATGAAGACTTATTTAGGCTAAATGTAAATAAATGTTTGATTTGTTTGTCGACGAATTATTGGCTTGCTCTGAGTATATAAATTGTCAGAAAATGAGATGAAAATTGCATAGGTGCGGGAATGTCAATATTGATCACAAATATTAGGCGTTGACAATTCACCTTTTCCACACGAAAAAATAGAATTAGCATAAACAGAGGTAATCATTTATAACAGGAAAACGCTCTGTCTGAGAGGCAAACCCAATTCGAACTCGTTTCTCTAAAGTTTTCTCCAAGTTAAGTATTTGCTCCCAGCCACGTCCCGTTTTTATTACGATCTCTGATAAATATGACCTCTACAAAATCTCCCATAAAGCTGACCTTTTGCTAAAGAGTTGACGCCTCCCTCACGCCCTTGCATAATCTGTATACAGCGATTCTATGAAAGTTGACGTTTCCCTGACGAATTGGATGTTTACTTTACGGCTGGGTGACATGGCGAGATCTATAAACCTGTAAATGTATGTTCTCTCGTCTACCTTTGTTGCAGTTACACACTGCAGGTCCTCTCTGGTGTTGTGTATGGTATCTTGAAGCTCTCAATTCTTCGTGATATTTTTAGTTTCTATCTCGTTCTGCTCTAACTCTTTTCATGCTCAGTAAGCTCAGAGTTATTTGAATGAACAACACTAGCTTGCTAATTAGAAACTTATAACTCTCATTAACGTTCTTTTCTTTAACCTTGTAATAATTAATCTTGTTTTTTTTCATATGACTTACAGACTCACATCACACGCTGTTTTGGTATTATATAAATTCGCTATTGCATTTTCCTAATTCTTATTTATTATGCAAAGATTAATTTGAGTGACAAGTGTTATGTGCTGTCTTGTAGTTAAGCTAATCTACGTCAATATCTCTGCAAACGGTGGTACTGTGAATCGACGTCTCCACAGGACTTTACTCGGCTGTCTCTTCATTTTAAGCAACTAAATCGCTCAGTTACGCTTGCTAATTTTGACACGTTCAATTTTCTATACGTGTAGATATTGGCTGCATTCTTTCGTTCTGTCTGAAAACATTCCTACTTCTAGCTGTCCTTTCTTCTTCTTTAAGTTCTTTCTTCCATGGAAGGGTTTGTTTTTCTTGCATTGTAGATCGTGATTTTCACATTAACATCCGTTCTTCTTTTTCTCCTAATGCGCCATTTACTATGAGTAATTTTTTAACGATAATGATGTTAACTTACCCTTACCCCACACTCAAGTTTTCCTTCGCCTTATCTTTAAACTATTTGTTGTTTTAATGTCTTACGAACTTTACTCTCATTGTTAACTAAAACTGCATAATCCGCCCATATAATAACTGCCTTTTAATATATTTTCCCTGTATTTAACTAGTTTGGCTATGATTGAGGCTTTATATGACTGTCTCTAAATCCAGCTAACACTAATGTTCCCTAGGGATTTAATATCTTGACCCTTAATTGCCGATTAATTAAGTTTATATTTTCACTGGGCGAGACAGTAGTTTTAAATTGTAGCTTCAGTTGTGGTATTAACCTTTTGCTCTCGGCATGTTTTATGCCACAGAGACTGCGCAGTCCCACTCCTTCTAGCCCTGGAGGCGAGGAATGAAGAGCTCTTCTTAGGTAACTGATTCAATCAGTACGTCACCACTGAATCAAATCATCTCATTCTGTCGTACTCGAACTCTTACCCACAAAGGCAATGTGGTCTTTCACTTCATTTGGCGCTCAAGAGTCACTTGTTCCACTAAAACTCGTAACTTGCCGATCATCTTAAAGCTCATATGTTGCCAGTGAGTAACTTGTTTCACTAACTTATGCTTGTAACGCAGAGATCATCCTTCACTTCATTTGTTGCCCATTGAGTTTATTGTTCCACTAAAGATCTTAGCTCACCGATCATCTTACTACTCATTTGTGGCCAGTGAGTCGCTTGTTTCACTAATGCTCGTAACGCAGCGATCATCGTTCAGTTCAATTCTGGCCTTGTTACTGGCTTGTTCCACTATAGATCGTAACTCGCCGATCATCTCACAGCTCGTTTGTGGTCAGTCACTAGCTTGTTTCACTATTGCTCGTAACAAAGCCATCATCTTTCAGTTGATTTGTGGTGCAGTGAGTCGGTTGTTCCACTATAGATCGTAACTCACCAATCATCTTACAGCTCATTTGTGGTTCAGTCAGGAGCTTGTTTCACTATTGCTCGTAACAAAGCCATCATCTTTCAGTTTATTTGTGGTGCAGTGAGTCGATTGTTCCACTACAGATCGTAACTCGCCAATCATCTAAAAGCCCACGAGTCGATTGCTCCACTAAAGAACGTAACTCAACGATCATCTTACAGCTCATTTGTGGTACAGTGAGTCGCTTGTTCATGTAAAGAACATCTTTCAATTTCATTTCTGGCCCAGAGGATCTCGTTATTCACCATTCACCTTGCTTATTTGTGGCCCACTGATGAGTCGCTTATTGCACGAAAGCTCATACCGCACTCAGTTATCATCTTAAAACTCATTAAATTTTGTGGCCACTTCTTCTGCCATGCATAGAGCCGTATTCCACTCAAAGCTCGTAACGTATCAGTTTATTTCATTGTATGCTTATGTCCCTGTCAACCGTTCGACTTGGTTCCATCTTGCACTGATCTCGCCCAGTGAAAGTACATCACTGCACCACACTTCACTCGTCCCCTGAACTCTTGACTGGAGCCATTATTTCTTACATTGGTACTAATAAACTCTCCTTTTCGTTCGCAATTTAAGAGAAAACTCTCTATATACCCAGCAACACACTTTGCACACTTGTTTTCTGACTTGAACACTTGCACTGTAGGGTTTCACAGAAAATTTCTTCCAAGTGGACAAAACAGGACACTTGCACGATTTGAAATCGGCGTTTCACAAACACTGTCACAGCAACGAACCCATGAGTGCTCGTTTTTCAAAGCAAAAGAGATCACTTGTGTGCAAAGGGATGTTTTCTCGCAATAAGTCGCTAACCTAGGTATTTGGCACTTTATGGGTAGGTTTCCTCTATCGTCCCTCCACAGCCAATAGGTTCGAGCACGCCCTTCAGAAGGGTAAGCACGCTTTCTCCCTTTTCATGTTGCTTTGGTACAATGATATCACACAGAATGATATCGGTTTTTATAACTTGATGGCTTTGTTAATCATTTGATCTGCTTTTTAACCAACCTTGTATGTTATCCTACTAAAAGGGCTGAAATGTGTTCCGTTTCTCCAGCGCAAGGAACAGTCTCCGGCTTCAAAGACTTACTAACTAGTTTGCCATGTATTAAAATAGAATCAACAGTAACCCGCGAAACTTTGACACTGAAAGAACTGCTCGGTAGCTTAAGATGAAAAGGTCACATGCATTTTAAGATTTCGTCTCCATAATTAGAATCAAGGAAGAAACACCATTTACAAAGGAACAAGTTTCACTCGAAGATACAGTACTTCTCTCGTCATCTCGGGAGTAAAAGCCTCACTCTACGATGAAAATAATCCTTGCTAGTTAACCAAGATGGTTGTACATACTCTCGGTATGAACCCTAACGTGATATAAAGCATTGCTTTCTTGCGGTGCAGGAGATGAGAGGAGGTAAATGTGGTTCTTCACCCCGCCTACCTGTCCCACTGATGACCGTTCAATAATCCTGATTTCACGTCGCGTTCATTAAAACTACTTAGCAGTTCTTTCATTTGCTTAAAGTAAAATATTTATTTTACCTTAAATTCGTATTCAATTTAACCTACACTTTGCCTTGTTTCCTTTTCTTCGCAGTCTTCCTTCAGCCGCGGCCTGTCTGCGTCTGGACGCAGCCACTCAGCAACCTCAATGGACGATAGTATGGAAGCTTAGAATTTAACTAAAAATTTATCATTAGGACTGAATGCGGCTTGAAGTTTAAAATGATTACAGGACAACTCATAGTCCGCTAGGTTTCAATTATCAAATGCTATTTTTCTACATGTTTTTTTTAGGAACAAAGATATTCAGAGGATAGTTAGGCCTCGAAAATATTTTTTCTACAAATATGGAATGTAACTATCCATAACGGATACTTCAGCTAGTTTGTTATACTGTTTTTAGGAGAGTATGTAGTAACTATAACTATTTTGTCAACAAAAAATATTGCAGCCAATAAACTTCTGCTTAAAAAATGCTTTTTGCGTCTCTGTCTTTAGCCTGCGTAGCTGGCGGGATCATCACTGTTGCTGCTGTTACTCTGCAGCTAGCTCTGTAGCGGCCTATTGGTTAACAAGAACAAAAGCGTTTACCCCCGCCAGGAATTTCTCTATGTCATGGCAAATTACTCCTTAAATTTGGTGTGAATTACAAAATTGCCGTGGCAGCTATGGCAACGTTCCATACGTTTAGTGCCAAGATGACGTCGAAGATTTTTAAAATGTTATGAATGAAGATTAGAAAACCTAAACACACGAAAGAGCAAATCAAGAAGGATTCTAACAGGTATTTTGTCGAAAAATTCAGAAACTTGTAAACTTACGCAAGATTTATGCTCTGAATTTTTCAAAGCGTGGTGTTCGCAATACT